ATGCCTGTATAACAGTGTATATGGGTAGTGGTCACTGGACAGTGGTCACTTATGCCTGTATAACATTGTGTATGGGTAGTGATCACTGGACAGTGGTCACTTATGCCTGTATAAGTGTATTTGGGTAGTGGTCACTGGACACTTATGCCTGTATAACAGTGTATTTGGGTAGTGGTCACTGGAGAGTGGTCACTTATGCCTGTATAACAGTGTATTTGGGTAGTGGTCACTGGACAGTGGTCACTTATGCCTGTATAACTGTATTGCACAGTGGTCAATGGACAGTGGTCACTTATGCCTGTATAACAGTGTATTTGGGTAGTGGTCACTGGACAGTGGTCACTTATGCCTGTATAACTGTATTGCACAGTGGTCATTGGACAGTGGTCACTTATGCCTGTATAACAGTGTATTTGGGTAGTGGTCACTGGACAGTGGTCACTTATGCCTGTATAACAGTGTCTTTGGGTAGTGGTCACTTATGCCTGTATAACAGTGTCTTTGGGTAGTGGTCACTGGACAGTGGTCACTTATGCCTGCAAAACAGTGTCTTTGGGCAGTGGTCACTGGACACTTATGTGTGTATAACAGTGTATTTGGGTAGTGGTCACTGGACAGTGGTCACTTATGCCTGTATAACTGTACTGCACAGTGGTCATTGGACAGTGGTCACTTATGCCTTATAACAGTGTATTTGGGTAGTGGTCACTGGACAGTGGTCACTTATGCCTGTATAACAGTGTCTTTGGGTAGTGGTCACTTATGCCTGTATAACAGTGTCTTTGGGTAGTGGTCACTTATGCCTGTATAACAGTGTCTTTGGGTAGTGGTCACTGGACAGTGGTCACTTATGCCTGCAAAACAGTGTCTTTGGGCAGTGGTCACTAGACACTTATGTGTGTATAACAGTGTATTTGCACAGTGGTTACTGGACAGTGGTCAATTATGCCTGTATAACAGTGTCTTTGGGCAGTGGACACTGGTCACTTATGCCTGTATAACAGTGTATTTGGGCAGTGGATACTGGTCACTTATGCCTGTATAACAGCTTTGATGCTAGTTCTTCTTCTTCTGCTTCTTCAGTATTTCAAGAGCCCTTGAGGTTCATCACCCACCTCCACTCATCTCTCTGGTTGGCCTTTTCTTTCCAGTTAGTAACATCAAGTGTTTGTAGTATATAGTACTGTCTGGAGCATTATACTAACACAACACTACACAAGACAAGACAAGACAACACAACTACAGAGGAAACTGACCGGCTCCATTGATAGCTGCCCTCAGTTCCTTGCTGTCCAACTCTCCGGAACCGTTGGCATCGAACTGGTAGAAAATGTTCTGCGGATGAACATACAGCAATGAAGCAAATGTCATGACACACAAACACAGGAGATTACAGGCACAGCAAGGGAGTTGAACAAATGTCATGACATACACACACAGGACATTACAGGCACAGAAGAGAGTTGAACAAATGTCACATACACACACAGGACATTACAGGCACAGCAAGAGAGTTGAACAAATGTCATCAGTCACCCATCATGGCAAGGGAGTTGAACAAATCTCATCAGTCACCCATCATGGCATGCTTGTTAGGGGGCAGGTGGGTCCATTATTTCCTCCCTCCCCCAAAATGGGGATCCAGAACTCACACAGGTAAGACAGATCAACAAATGGGGATCTAAAACCCACACAGGTAAGAAAGATCAACAAATGGGGATCCAGAACCCACACAGGTAAGACAGATCAACAAATGGGTGTGTCAAGAGAAGATACGTGAAATAAATAAAATAAATAAAAGTTTAGTTACATAAATACTCTACATTCAGAATTTTAAAATAAAAACAATAAATAAAATTTATCAAAACGTCCATCAGTGTAGTTATCCTTCAAAGACCTTTTATCAATCAGAGACAGAAATTTGAGTCAGTGACTTACCTTTCAACTCCTTAAACGACTCCACAGAGACACTTACATTCCAACTCCTTAAATGACTCCACGAGACAGAAATGTGAGTCAGTGACTTACCTTCCAACTCCTTAAATGACTCCACCGAGACAGAAATGTGAGTCAGTGACAGCTTCCAACTCCTTAAATGACTCCAACGAGACAGAAATGTGAGTCAGTGACTTACCTTCCAACTCCTTAAATGACTCCAACGAGACAGAAATGTGAGTCAGTGACTTACCTTCCAACTCCTTAAATGACTCCAGAGAGACAGAAATGTGAGTCAGTGACTTACCTTCCAACTCCTTAAATGACTCCAGAGAGACAGAAATGTGAGTCAGTGACTTACCTTCCAACTCCTTAAATGACTCCAGAGAGACAGAAATGTGAGTCAGTGATTTACTTTCCAACTCCTTAAATGACTCCAGAGAGACAGAAATGTGAGTCAGTGACTTACCTTCCAACTCCTTAAATGACTCCACTGAGACAGAAATGTGAGTCAGTGACTTACCTTCCAACTCCTTAAATGACTCCACAGAGACACTTACCTTCCAACTCCTTAAATGACTCCACAGAGACACTTACCTTCCAACTCCTTAAATGACTCCACAGAGACAGAAATGTGAGTCAGTGACTTACCTTCCAACTCCTTAAATGACTCCACAGAGACACTTACCTTCCAACTCCTTAAATGACTCCACAGAGACACTTACCTTCCAACTCCTTAAATGACTCCACAGAGACAGAAATGTAAGTCAGTGACTTACCTTCCAACTCCTTAAATGACTCCACAGAGACACTTACCTTCCAACTCCTTAAATGACTCCACAGAGACACTTACCTTTCAACTCCTTAAACGACTCCACAGAGACACTTACATTCCAACTCCTTAAATGACTCCACAGAGACACTTACCTTCCAACTCCTTAAATGACTCCACAGAGACACTTACCTTTCAACTCCTTAAACGACTCCACAGAGACACTTACATTCCAACTCCTTAAATGACTCCACAGAGACACTTACCTTCCAACTCCTTAAATGACTCCACAGAGACACTTACCTTCCAACTCCTTAAATGACTCCACAGAAACTGAAACTCGTGGAAGCCAAGCCTTCCACTTCCATCAACCTGGGTCTAGGTTAAAGAATTTCAAATCACAAACCAGGAACAATGTTTTAAATGGACAATCAACAATGTTTCAAACTGACAATCAACAATTTTCCAAACTGACAATCAACAATGTTTCAAACTGACAATCAACAATGTTTCAAACTGACAATCAACAATGTTTCAAACCGACAATCAACAATGTTTCAAACTGACAATCAACAATGTTTCAAACCGACAATCAACAATGTTTCAAACCGACAATCAACAATGTTTCAAACTGACAATCAACAATGTTTCAAACTGACAGTCAATAATGTTTCAAACGGTCAATCAACAATGTTACAAACTGACAATCAACAATGTTTCAAACCAACAATCAACAATGTTACAAATTGACAATCAACAATGTGTGACTCTCTATGTTAAGGAGAAACAACAGATGAACTGTGATCTACACGAGAAACAAGAGTTGAAATGTCAACTTGACACTTCACAAACTCTGGACTACAATATATACACGGTCTGAGATTCAGTACTAACACTGGCCTAGCTGTCTAAGACTGGAGAAACACCAGTACCTGGCCTAGCTGACTAAGACTGGATAAACACTATAACCTGGCCTAGCTGATGAGACTGGATAAACACCAGAACCTATCCTAGCTGATGGGACTGAATAAATATTAGAACCTAGCCTAGCTGATAGGACTGGATAAACACGAGAACCTAGCCTAGCTGATGAGACTGGATAAACACCAGAACCTGGCCTAGCTGATGAGACTGGATAAACCCCAGAACCTAGCTGATGAGACTGGATAAACCCCAGAACCTAGCTGATGAGACTGGATAAACCTCAGAACCTAGCTGATGAGACTGGATAAACAACAGAACCTAGCCGATGAGACTGGATAAACACCAGAACCTAGCTGATGAGACTGGATAAACACCAGAACCTGGCCTAGCTGATGAGACTGGATAAACCCCAGAACCTAGCTGATGAGACTGGATAAACCCCAGAACCTAGCTGATGAGACTGGATAAACAGAACCTAGCTGATGAGACTGGATAAAAACAAGAACCTAGCTGATGAGACTGAATAAACCCCAGAACCAGGCCTAGCTGATGGGACTGGATAAACCCCAGAACCTGGTTTAGCTGATGAGACTGGATAAACCCCAGAACCTGGTCTAGCTGATGAGACTGGATAAACCCAAGAACCTAGCCTAGGTGATGAGACTGAATAAACCCCAGAACCTAGCTGATGAGTGGAAAAACCCCAGAACCTGGTCTAGCTGATGGGACTGGATAAACATTAGAACCTAGCTGATGAGACTGGATAAACACCAGAATCTGGCTGATGAGACTGGATAAACCTCAGAACCTAGCTGATGGGACTGGATAAACCCCAGAACCTAGCGGATGAGACTGGATAAAAACAAGAACCTGGCCTAGCTGATGGAACTGGATAAACCCCAGAATCTGGTTTAGCTGATGAGACTGGATAAACCCCAGAACCTAGCTGATGAGACTGGAAAAACCTCAGAACCTGGTCTAGCTGATGGGACTGGATAAACCGAAGAATCTAGCCTAGCTGATGGGACTGGATAAACCCCAGAACCTAGCTGATAAGACTGGATAAACCCCAGAACCTTGTCTAGCTGATGAGCCTGGATAAACCCCAGAACCTTGTCTAGCTGATAGGACTGGATAAACCCCAGAACCTTGTCTAGCTGATGAGACTGGATAAACCCCAGAACCTTGTCTAGCTGATGAGTGGAAAAACCCCAGAACCTTGTCTAGCTGATGGGACTGGATAAACCGAAGAATCTAGCCTAGCTGATGGGACTGGATAAACCGAAGAATCTAGCCTAGCTGATGGGACTGGATAAACCGAAGAATCTAGCCTAGCTGATGAGACTGGATAAACCCCAGAACCTAGCCTAGCTGATGAGACTGGATAAACCCCAGAACCTGGCCTAGCTGACAAGACTGGATAAACCCCAGAACCTGGCCTAGCTGATGGGACTGGATAAACCCCAGAACCTGGTCTAGCTGATGGGACTGGATAAACCCCAGAACCTGGTCTAGCTGATGGGACTGGATAAACCCCAGAACCTGGTCTAGCTGATGGGACTGGATAAACCCCAGAACCTGGTCTAGCTGATGGGACTGGACTAACAAAAGCCATATCCAAATTTCCTTCTCAACCAGAAGTTTCAGCAAAGCCATTGCGCTGCTAAAAATTGTACACCACTTTAACACACAAAACAAAAACACCTGAAAAAAAATGTGTATAAACAAAAAAAGCCACACTGACAGCCAAGGATACATCCATCAAACTGACAAATGCCTTACAGGCATCAATACTGACATCTTGATGTAAGCGATCTGTAAAGATAAAAGTGAATCTATCAGTCAATGTGTTAGCTAAAGATCACATTCTCCAGTAGACTGCCTCTACTTCCATGTAGAGACAAGAGCTAGTTAGAGATCACATTCTCCAGTAGACTGTCTCTACTTCCATGTAGAGACAAGTGCTAGTTAGAGATCACATTCTCCAGTAGACTGTCTCTACTTCCATGTAGAGACAAGTGCTAGTTTGAGATCACATTCTCCAGTAGACTGTCTCTACTTCCATGTAGAGACAAGTGCTAGTTAGAGATCACATTCTCCAGTAGACTGTCTCTACTTCCATGTAGAGACAAGTGTTAGCTAAAGATCACATTCTCCAGTAGACTCTCTCTGGTAAGAAAACTGTGTTAAACAGTGTTCTTTTAGTGTTTATATTCACATACCTGCATTTTAAAATTGGTGTCACTTTGACTAAAGCTTGATTGGCTTTATTGCATCTTTGCTGAATTTCTTAATTCATTCTTCCATCTTCTGAAGAAAATGCTCCCCAGATATGTAAAACCCTTTGCTTGTAAAATGTTCCACATATTCACCATGGATAACTGTAAAATGTTCCACATATTCACCATAGATAACCGTAAAATGTTCCACATATTCACCATGGATAACCGTAAAATGTTCCACATATTCACCATGGATAACCGTAAAATGTTCCACATATTCACCATGGATAACCGTAAAATGTTCCACATATTCACCATGCATAACCATAAAATGTACTACATATTTACCATGGATAACCATAAAATGTTCTACATATTCACCATGGATAACCATAAAATGTTCCACACATTCACCATGGATAACTGTAAAATGTTCCACATATTCACCATGGATAACCGTAAAATGTTCCACATATTCACCATGCATAACCATAAAATGTTCCACATATTCACCATGGATAACCATAAAATGTTCCACATATTCACCATAGATAACCATAAAATGTTCCACATATTCGCTAGGATAACCATAAAATAATCCACATATTCGCCATGGATAACCATCAAATGTTCCACATATTCGCCATGGATAACCATAAAATGTTCCACATATTCGCCCCTGCTAACATTTCAATAACACTGATTTAAGCTCACCAGATTTGGAAGCTTCGTTAATGGCACTGCGCAACTCAAACGGGTTAACCTCCATGTCCTGAAACACGAAAACAGAGTTAACAATCAGACATACTCTTCACACAACACAGATTTTGAAGTCTGCAGACATTCTCTTCACACAACACAGATTTTGAAGTCTGCAGACATACTCTTCACACAACACAGATTTTGAAGTCTGCAGACACACTCTTTACACAACACAGATTTTGAAGTCTGCAGACATTCTCTTCACACAACACAGATTTTGAAGTCTGCAGACACACTCTTTACACAACACAGATTTTGAAGTCTGCAGACATTCTCTTCACACAACACAGATTTTGAAGTCTGCAGACATTCTCTTCACACAACATAGATTTTGAAGTCTGCAGACATTCTCTTCACACAACACAGATTTTGAAATATGCAGACATTCTCTTCACACAACACAGCTTTTGAAGTTTGCAGACACACTCTTCACACAACACAGATTTTGAAGTTTGCAGACACACTCTTCACACAACACAGCTTTTGAAGTTTGCAGACACACTTTTCACACAACAGACATACAAGTCAAAGCTACAGTGACCAGACTGAGATTTTGAGATTAGAGGATACACAAGACAGCATGAACAGCCAAAGCTACAGTGACCAGAGATTTTGAGATTAGAGGATACACAAGACAGCATGAACAGCCAAAGCTACAGTGACCAGACTGAGATTTTGAGATTAGAGGATACACAAGACAGCATGAACAGCCAAAGCTACAGTGACCAGAATGAGAGATTACAGGATACACAAGACAGCATGAACAGCCAAAGCTACAGTGACCAGACTGAGAGATTAGAGGATACACAAGACAGCATGAACAGCCAAAGCTACAGTGACCAGACAGATTTTGAGATTAGAGGATACACAAGACAGCATGAACAGCCAAAGCTACAGTGACCAGACTGAGAGATTACAGGATACACAAGACAGCATGAACAGCCAAAGCTACAGTGACCACACTGAGATTTTGAGATTAGAGGATACACAAGACAGCATGAACAGCCAAAGCTACAGTGACCAGACTGAGAGATTAGAGGATACACAAGACAGCATGAACAGCCAAAGCTACAGTGACCAGACTGAGAGATTAGAGGATACACAAGACAGCATGAACAGCCAAAGCTACAGTGACCAGACTGAGATTTTGAGATAAGAGGATACACAAGACAGCATGAACAGCCAAAGCTACAGTGACCACACAGATTTTGAAATAAGAGGATACACAAGACAGCATGAACAGCCAAAGCTACAGTGACCAGACTGAGATTTTGAGATTAGAGGATACACAAGACAGCATGAACAGCCAAAGCTACAGTGACCAGACTGAGAGATTAGAGGATACACAAGACAGCATGAACAGCCAAAGCTACAGTGACCACACAGATTTTGAGATTAGAGGATACACAAGACAGCATGAACAGCCAAAGCTACAGTGACCAGACTGAGAGATTAGAGGATACACAAGACAGCATGAACAGCCAAAGCTACAGTGACCAGACTGAGATTTTGAGATTAGAGGATACACAAGACAGCATGAACAGCCAAAGCTACAGTGACCACACAGATTTTGAGATAAGAGGATACACAAGACAGCATGAACAGCCAAAGCTACAGTGACCACACAGATTTTGAGATTAGAGGATACACAAGACAGCATGAACAGCCAAAGCTACAGTGACCAGACTGAGAGATTAGAGATACACAAGACAGCATGAACAGCCAAAGCTACAGTGACCAGACTGAGATTTTGAGATTAGAGGATACACAAGACAGCATGAACAGCCAAAGCTACAGTGACCAGACTGAGAGATTAGAGGATACACAAGACAGCATGAACAGCCAAAGCTACAGTGACCAGACTGAGAGATTAGAGGATACACAAGACAGCATGAACAGCCAAAGCTACACTGACCAGACTGAGATTTTGAGATTAGAGAATACACAAGACAGCATGAACAGCCAAAGCTACAGTGACCAGACTGAGATTTTGAGATTAGAGGATACACAAGACAGCATGAACAGCCAAAGCTACAGTGACCAGACTGAGAGATTAGAGGATACACAAGACAGCATGAACAGCCAAAGCTACAGTGACCACACAGATTTTGAGATTAGAGGATACACAAGACAGCATGAACAGCCAAAGCTACAGTGACCAGACTGAGAGATTAGAGGATACACAAGACAGCATGAACAGCCAAAGCTACAGTGACCAGACTGAGATTTTGAGATTAGAGGATACACAAGACAGCATGAACAGCCAAAGCTACAGTGACCAGACTGAGAGATTAGAGGATACACAAGACAGCATGAACAGCCAAAGCTACAGTGACCAGACTGAGAGATTAGAGGATACACAAGACAGCATGAACAGCCAAAGCTACACTGACCAGACTGAGATTTTGAGATTAGAGAATACACAAGACAGCATGAACAGCCAAAGCTACAGTGACCAGACTGAGATTTTGAGATTAGAGGATACACAAGACAGCATGAACAGCCAAAGCTACAGTGACCAGACTGAGAGATTAGAGGATACACAAGACAGCATGAACAGCCAAAGCTACAGTGACCAGACTGAGATTTTGAGATTAGAGGATACACAAGGCAGCATGAACAGCCAAAGCTACAGTGACCAGACTGAGAGATTAGAGGATACACAAGACAGCATGAACAGCCAAAGCTACAGTGACCAGACTGAGAGATTAGAGGATACACAAGACAGCATGAACAGCCAAAGCTACAGTGACCAGACTGAGAGATTAGAGGATACACAAGACAGCATGAACAGTCAAAGCTACAGTGACCAGACTGAGATTTTGAGATTAGAGGATACACAAGACAGCATGAACAGTCAAAGCTAGTGACCAGACTGAGAGATTAGAGGATACACAAGACAGCATGAACAGCCAAAGCTACAGTGACCAGACTGAGAGATTAGAGGATACACAAGACAGCATGAACAGCCAAAGCTACAGTGACCAGACTGAGAGATTAGAGGATACACAAGACGGCATGAACAGTCAAAGCTACAGTGACCAGACTGAGATTTTGAGATTAGAGGATACACAAGACAGCATGAACAGCCAAAGCTTCAGTGACCAGACTGAGAGATTAGAGGATACACAAGACAGCATGAACAGCCAAAGCTACAGTGACCAGAGTGAGATTTGAACCTTTACCTACAAGTGATGACAATGGCTCACTAAGGAGTGTACTCCAATAAACCTCTCCTCTATTTCTATCAATGTCGACCAGTCAGTGCCAAGTGAACAGAAAAACAATAATCAACACAAGATAACATGGTCTCTCTACTGACCTCTCCAGATACTCGGTAGAAAAAGTTCTTGATTGTTTCCTCCTGTTGTTTTGCTTCAGAAGATACAACTGTTGGAGTTATCTCCACTTTCTCTGGTTTCTCATCGCAGTACCTGTGACAAGTAACACTTCTGTATAATAGTCTGTTCCAACTGCATTACAACTAAGATATGCTCACAGGAATAGATGTCACCTATAAGAGGGAACACAGCTGCTAGTGGCACTGTTAAGTCACTGCCATCTGTCAGAGAGTCTACAATCTAGTGTCCATGCCAGTGACTCCAGCATGGCTCCTGTCTCCAAGCCAACAAAGTCTAATCTGGCATGGGTCAGTGCCAGAACCACTTGTCTCATCATCACCATCATTATCACCACCATCAGGTGTTTTGCTACATGGCAAATGCACTCCTACATCTCTATAACGCTGTTTTCTAGGCCACGTGGCAAGTGCACTCCTACATCTCTATAATGCTGTTTTCTAGGCCACGTGGCAAGTGCACTCCTACATCTCTATAATGCTGTTTTCTAGGCCACGTGGCAAGTGCACTCCTACATCTCTATAATGCTGTTTTCTAGGCCACGTGGCAAGTGCACTCCTACATCTCGATAACACTATTTTCTAGGCCTCGTGGCAAGTGCACTCCTACATCTCTATAATGCTGTTTTCTAGGCCACGTGGCAAGGGCACTCCTACATCTCTATAACACTGTTGTCCAGCACTATTAATCAACCCTTGCACTGACTGTCTTCCGACATAATATACCAGTATCCATCCTCTCTGCCATCCTCCATCTCTTTGTCTTTCAATCTCCCCAGTTGCGATTTTATTCTATAGTTTTTCTCTCCTCATATAACCTCACTGATTGGCATCCTTGGATATGTGTAGATATGTTTCCTTCATCACTAGATGTTCAACTAAACATTCATATTTACACATATTAAACATTACAAATGCTGTCATGAAACAGGTGATGACAGTCATCCTCTGATTTCTGTAGAAAAGTTGCACTCATCTATTACAAGACATTCACATTAGACATTACAAATGCTGTCATGAAACAGACGTGGATCGTGGCTCAGTTAACAACACTGACCACTGATAATATCCCAGAAGGATCAGGAGGAGAACAGTAACTAAGACTCTTAGTGTCAAGGCTGGTCATGTGATCATGCCCAAACTGGAAGTACCCTGACAAATCAAAACATGAAAAGTGATAGGGTCAGTTGTACGAGTGACAGAATGGAGACAGAAAGTCTTTATCAGTACAACACAGTAAATAGACACTAATACTTCATACATACTAAAACTACTATAACTTCATTTTACAAGTAAACAAATTACACACAGCTGTTTCGAAAGAAAAAAAGGAGATTCTTGAGATTCCCACTGAAGGGAGACTTACTCAGCAATGTTGCCACTGAAGGGAGACAAAACAATTTTGCCACTGAAGGGAGACTTAATCAACAATGTTGCCACTGAAGGGAGACAAAACAATGTTGCCACTGAAGGGAGACTTACTCAACAATGTTGCCACTGAAGGGAGACAAAACAATGTTGCCACTGAAGGGAGACTTACTCAACAATGTTGCCACTGAAGGGAGACAAAACAATGTCGCCACTGAAGGGAGACAAAACAATGTTGCCACTGAAGGGAGACTTACTCAACAATGTTGCCACTAAAGGGAGACAAAACAATGTTGCCACTGAAGGGAGACTTACTCAACAATGTTGCCACTGAAGGGAGACAAAACAATGTTGCCACTAAAGGGAGACAAAACAATGTTGCCACTGAAGGGAGACAAAACAATGTTGCCACTGAAGGGAGACTTACTCAACAATGTTGCCACTAAAGGGAGACAAAACAATGTTGCCACTAAAGGGAGACAAAACAATGTTGCCACTGAAGGGAGACTAACTCAACAATGTTGCCACTAAAGGGAGACAAAACAATGTTGCCACTGAAGGGAGACTTACTCAACAATGTTGCCACTAAAGGGAGACAAAACAATGTTGCCACTGAAGGGAGACTTACTCAACAATGTTGCCACTGAAGGGAGACAAAACAATGTTGCCACTGAAGGGAGACTTACTCAACAATGTTGCCACTAAAGGGAGACAAAACAATGTTGCCACTGAAGGGCGCCTTACTCAACAATGTTGCCACTAAAGGGAGACAAAACAATGTTGCCACTGAAGGGAGACAAAACAATGTTGCCACTGAAGGGAGACTTACTCAACAATGTTGCCACTAAAGGGAGACAAAACAATGTTGCCACTAAAGGGAGACAAAACAATGTTGCCACTGAAGGGAGACTTACTCAACAATGTTGCCACTAAAGGGAGACAAAACAATGTTGCCACTAAAGGGAGACTTACTCCACAATGTTGCCAATGAAGAGAGACTTACTCAACAATGTTGCCACGCTCCAGGAAAAACCGGACATAGTAATCTGCTTCCTCGTCTGCTTCCCATGTGCTAGGTACAAACACATACTCTCCAGGAGCCAGGGCCAGGCGTTTGGTAACCTGGCGGACATTGATGTATGCTCCAGAGTTGGCGATGACTTGGTGGTAGTCAAAGAAGTCCTTCTTTACAGGCAGCGGATATCCTTTCTCATACTGTTGACATACAAGTGAGATACTTAACTCAGATAGTGTGTGTGTGTGAGAGAGAGAGAGAGAGAGAGAGAGAGAGAGAGAGAGAGAGAGAGACAGAGAGAAAGAGAGAGAGAGAGGGAGAGAGAGAGAGAGAGAGAGAGAGAGAGAGAGAGAGAGAGAGAGAGAGAGAGAGAGAGAGAGAGAGAGAGAGAGAGAGAGATTTTGAACAGATTCAAAATGAAGGAATAAGAATCGTCTTGGGCTGTACATGATATACACTAATTAGAACAATGAGGTGTATGCGTGGGCTGACATCAGTCAAGTCTAGACCAGCGGTTCTCAACTTGACGGTTACGACCCTGCCAGAACAAAATGGAGCTTTTTTATCTACAATTTACAAATTCAAACATGAGGTGGAAGTAGAGGCAATCACTGCAGCTCTGATTTGGATAGCAGAAAAAAAGTTACCAGAGGAATTATTGTGTCTGATTCTCAGTTAGTACTGTGGAAAGTTCAAAACGGACTAATGTGGCATGCGTGGATACCATGTATTAGTAGGACAAGATTGCAGGAAGTCATGTGGATATACTGTCTGGGACATGCAGGGAGTCATGTGGATATACTGTCTGGGACATGCAGGGACTCATGTGGATATACTGTCTGGGACATGCAGGGACTCATGTGGATATACTGTCTGGGACATGCAGGGAGTCATGTGGATATACTGTCTGGGACATGCAGGGACTCATGTGGATATACTGTCTGGGACATGCAGGGACTCATGTGGATATACTGTCTGGGACATGCAGGGACTCATGTGGATATACTGTCTGGGACATGCAGGGACTCATGTGGATATACTGTCTGGGACATGCAGGGACTCATGTGGATATACTGTCTGGGACATGCAGGGACTCATGTGGATATACTGTCTGGGACATGCAGGGACTCATGTGGATATACTGTCTGGGACATGCAGGGACTCATGTGGATATACTGTCTGGGACATGCAGGGACTCATGTGGATATACTGTCTGGGACATGCAGGGACTCATGTGGATATACTGTCTGGGACATGCAGGAGTGCCAGGGAATGAAAGAACAGATTTTCTTACTACACAAGCAATAACTACGGCAACCATCCAGCTGGACAAAGGAGACATTCTGAAGACCATTTACGAACCAAAGCTGCTAAAGGCACAAGATGAGATAAGACAGGAAAGAATGTATGAACAGAGAATTTCAAATGGATCTGGCAAGGAATAGAACGATGTGTGTATAATCAGTGTGCTACGGAAACAGTTCACATCTACACCTGATGCCATATGCTGCGGATGACATGCATGAAGACAGAGACACAACAGTGGTCACATAAAGACAAGGAAAGATAACAATGTTAAGCTTGTAGACAGAGGAACATAACATTGTTCAACATGCAGACAAACAAATATAACAGTGCTCAGCCTGTTGACAGAGAAACATAACAGTGCTCAGCCTGTTGACAGAGAAACATAACAGTGCTCAGCCTGTTGACAGAGAAACATAACAGTGCTCAGCCTGTTGACAGAGAAACATAACAGTGCTCAGACTGTTGACAGAGAAATATAACAGTGCTCAGACTGTTGACAGAGAAACATAACAGTGCTCAGCCTGTTGACAGAGAAACATAACAGTGTTCAGCCTGCTCACAGAGAAATATAACAGTGCTCAGCCTGCTGACAGAGAAACATAACATTGTTCAACATGCAGACAAACAAATATAACAGTGCTCAGCCTGTTGACAGAGAAACATAACAGTGCTGAGACTGTTGACAGAGAAACATAACAGTGCTCAGCCTGTTGACAGAGAAACATAACAGTGCTCAGCCTGCTGACAGAGAAATATAACAGTGCTCAGACTGTTGACAGAGAAACATAACAGTGCTCAGACTGTTGACAGAGAAATATAACAGTGCTCAGCCTGTTGACAGAGAAACATAACAGTGTTCAGCCTGCTGACAGAGAAATATAACAGTGCTCAGCCTGCTGACAGAGAAACATAACAGTGTTCAGCCTGTTGACAGAGAAACATAACAGTGTTCAGCCTGCTGACAGAGAAACATAACAGTGTTCAGCCTGCTGACAGGGAAATATAACAGTGCTCAGCCTGTTGACAGAGAAAAATAACAGTGCTCAGCCTGTTGACAGAGAAACATAACAGTTCTCAGCCTGTTGACAGAAAAACATAACAGTGCTCAGCCTGTTGACAGAGAAATATAACAGTGCTCAGCCTGTTGACAGAGAAACATAACATTGTTCAACATGCAGACAGAGAAACATAACAGTTCTCAGCCTGTTGACAGAGAAACATAACAGTGCTCAGCCTGTTGACAGAGAAACATAACAGTGCTCAGCCTGTTGACAGAGAAATATAACAGTGCTCAGCCTGTTGACAGGGAAACATAACAGTGCTCAGCGTGTTGACAGAGAAACATAACAGTGCTCAGCCTGTTGACAGAGAAACATAACAGTGCTCAGCCTGTTGACAGAGAAACATAACAGTGCTCAGACTGTTGACAGAGAAATATAACAGTGCTCAGACTGTTGACAGAGAAACATAACAGTGCTCAGCCTGTTGACAGAGAAACATAACAGTGTTCAGCCTGCTCACAGAGAAATATAACAGTGCTCAGCCTGCTGACAGAGAAACATAACATTGTTTAACATGCAGACAAACAAATATAACAGTGCTCAGCCTGTTGACAGAGAAACATAACAGTGCTGAGACTGTTTGACAGAGAAACATAACAGTGCTCAGCCTGTTGACAGAGAAACATAACAGTGCTCAGCCTGCTGACAGAGAAATATAACAGTGCTCAGACTGTTGACAGAGAAACATAACAGTGCTCAGACTGTTGACAGAGAAATATAACAGTGCTCAGCCTGTTGACAGAGAAACATAACAGTGTTCAGCCTGCTGACAGAGAAATATAACAGTGCTCAGCCTGCTGACAGAGAAACATAACAGTGTTCAGCCTGTTGACAGAGAAACATAACAGTGTTCAGCCTGCTGACAGAGAAACATAACAGTGTTCAGCCTGCTGACAGGGAAATATAACAGTGCTCAGCCTGTTGACAGAGAAAAATAACAGTGCTCAGCCTGTTGACAGAGAAACATAACAGTTCTCAGCCTGTTGACAGAAAAACATAACAGTGCTCAGCCTGTTGACAGAGAAATATAACAGTGCTCAGCCTGTTGACAGAGAAACATAACATTGTTCAACATGCAGACAGAGAAACATAACAGTTCTCAGCCAGTTGACAGAGAAACATAACAGTGCTCAGCCTGTTGACAGAGAAACATAACAGTGCTCAGCCTGTTGACAGAGAAATATAACAGTGCTCAGCCTGTTGACAGGGAAACATAACAGTGCTCAGCCTGTTGACAGGGAAACATTGCTCAGCCTGTTGACAGGGAAACATAACAGTGCTCAGCCTGTTGACAGAGAAACATAACAGTGCTCAGCCTGTTGACAGAGAAACATAACAGTGCTCAGCCTGTTGACAGAGAAACATAACAGTGCTCAGCCTGTTGACAGGGAAACATAACAGTGCTCAGCCTGTTGACAGGGAAATATAACAGTGCTCAGCCTGTTGACAGAGAAACATAACAGTGCTCAGTCTGTTGACAGAAAAATATAACAGTGTTCAGTCTGCTGACAGAGAAATATAACAGTGCTCAGCCTGTTGACAGAGAAATATAACAGTGCTCAGCCTGTTGACAGAGGAATATAACAGTGCTCAGCCTGTTGACAGAGAAATATAACAGTACTCAGCCTGTTGACAGAGAAATATAACAGTGCTCAGCCTGTTGACAGAAAACATAACAGTGCTCAGCCTGTTGACAGGGAAACATAACAGTGCTCAGCCTGTTGACAGAGAAACATAACAGTGCTCAGCCTGTTGACAGAGAAACATAACAGTGCTCAGCCTGTTGACAGAGAAACATAACAGTGTTCAGCCTGCTGACAGAGAAACATTAACAGTGTTCAGCCTGCTGACAGACAAAAATAACAGTGCTCAGCCTGTTGACAGACAAAAATAACAGTGCTCAGCCTGTTGACAGAGAAACATAACAGTTCTCAGCCTGTTGACAGAAAAACATAACAGTGCTCAGCCTGTTGACAGAGAAACATAACAGTGCTCAGCCTGTTGACAAAGAAATATAACAGTGCTCAGCCTGTTGACAGAGAAACATAACAGTGCTCAGCCTGTTGACAGGGAAACATAACAGTGCTCAGCCTGTTAAAAGAGAAACATAACAGTGCTCAGCCTGTTGACAGAGAAACATAACAGTGCTCAGCCTGTTGACAGAGAAACATAACAGTGCTCAGCCTGTTGAGAGAGAAACATAACAGTGCTCAGCCTGTTGACAGGGAAACATAACAGTGCTCAGCCTGTTGACAGGGAAATATAACAGTGCTCAGCCTGTTGACAGAGAAACATAACAGTGCTCAGTCTGTTGACAGAGAAATATAACAGTGCTCAGCCTGTTGACAGAGAAACATAACAGTGCTCAGACTGTTGACAGAGAAACATAACAGTTCTCAACCTGTTGACAGAGAAACATAACAGTGCTCAGCCTGTTGACAGGGAAACATAACAGTGCTCAGCCTGTTGACAGAGAAACATAACAGTGCTCAGCCTGTTGACAGAGAAACGTAATAGTGATCAGCCTGTTGACAGAGAAACATAACAGTGCTCAGCCTGTTGACAGAGAAATATAACAGTGCTCAGCCTGTAGGCAGAAGCTTTTCGGGCAGCGTTTCTCAATCGCAATCCTTTTTTGGGTCGAATGACCCTTTCACAGGGGTTGCCTAGAACCATCGGAAAACACACATTTATTGAAGTTATGAAAGAAAATAATTGTTTGGGGGTCGCCACAACATGAGGGAACTGTATTAAAGGGTCACCACAACATGAGGGAATTGTATTAAAGGGTCGCCACAACATGAGGGAACTGTATTAAAGGGTCGTCACAACATGAGGGAACTGTATTAAAGGGTCGCCACAACATGAGGGAACTGCATTAAAGGGTCGCCACAACATGAGGAACTGTATTAAAGGGTCGCCTCATTAGGAAAGTCAAGAGCCACTGCTCTAGGGTGTATCCAACAAAAGACTTGCCTGGTAAATGTTGAAGCCAATAGACAGAAACTTCTCCCCTTTCTGTTTCAACTTGCGACGGTCCACTTGCATCAGCTGGATCAGCACACTGCAAAGACTGTCATCGTCCTCATCAGTGTCCTCTAGCTTCAGGTAATACTGCGGGTTGATCCAGTGTGAGGCTGTAGCATACCCAGGAGATATCACATGAGATTTAATGAGACAAAACATGAGATATAATGACTGCGGGTTAATCCAGTGTGAGGCTGTAGCATACCCAGGAGATATCACATGAGATTTAATGAGACAAAACATGAGATATAATGACTGCGGGTTGATCCAGTGTGAGGCTGCAGCACGTCAATTAGATATAATGAGACCAAATATGAGATAGTTCAGCGGGTTAATCCAGTATGAAGTTGCACCATGAGGGCCGTCTGTGCAAACTGTCTGTAAAACTAAACTGTCACAAAACGCCACAGGTGGATTCAAAATAGAAATCTCAAAACACATGCAGGTATAAAAAGAGAAGTTCATCATGTAGTTCTGGCATCCATACTAAGAAAGGCCAGGCCTACTTGGCTAGATCTAACTGCAATGTCCAACTGAACAAAGCCAGTGGTCAGTGGCTCTGCTGCCCGAAGCCTATCATGCAGGCAAGTACAAAGCATGCCATCAAGTATGATGACCTCAGCGCTCTTATGCTGAGACTGAAGTTGATTCCATGGGGCAGCTGGTCTCTGTCAAACATCAGGGAAGACAACTTGTAACCAAGGCTGTCGGCCTCCACTGAATAAACTGCATCAACTAGAGTATTAGCAGGCTTTTGGTCTACACAGAACATTTCCATCGGATTTGTAAAAATGTATTGCAAATCTCATGAGTGAGTGAGATGTTGCTCCATACCTCTCCAGCATATCTTCCTCATGACTGTTCTGTGCCCATGCTCACACCATGAATCCAGTTCATGAAAACACCAGCCCTGAGAAACTCCCCTGAGCAGCTAAACTGACTGCTACAAGGATCAGCTATACATACATGTTATTGTAAGTACAAGTCTGGGGACAGATTTGACTTATTGTGTTACATATCAAAAGTTTGTGAATATGCAGGTTTTACACACAAACTCTCCTGTTTCAGACAGCGACAGGAAGTGAAGCGATAAAACAGCTACCTAGTCTAATTAAGCAAACAAGTATTACCTTCTCTAGACGGCCTGCCACCAGCGTTGAAACCTTTAATCCATCTCCCAGAATGCTCTGTGACCTCCCACTTCCGTGGAACATCAAGCGGGCAATCAGGGGTGAGATTACAAATGTATAGAGAGTCGAAATTGGCCAGGAAATCCTCAAAATCCATCCTGGCAAAGATTGTAAAAATATAATTTTACAACAATGCTTAAAACTGTTGAGAAATGTTCAAAGAATAAATGTCACAGATTGCTGTAGATATCTGTGTCAGGAAAACAAAACATGACACTTAAGTTGGCTAGAAGGATGTTTCACAAATCTCCACTTTAAAACTTACAATAACTGGGCAATTCACAAAAACCAACTGAAACACTGACCTTTAGATAAAGCCCCAAAACATAAATCTCACAGATCAGGGAACTTGTGTTCGACCCTCAGAAATGCTTTTAAATAAAACATAATATCCTCTACACAAAACAGAAACTCTTGAGCAAGTAGTCAGTCTTTCTTCCTTATCCTGAGAAAAGTTGTCCAATGTTTCAAAGTCTTTCTTCCTTATTCTGAGAAAAGTTGTCCAATGGTTAGAAAGTCTTTCTTCCTTATTCTGAGAAAAGTTGTCCAATGGTTCCAAGTCTTTCTTCCTTATTCTGAGAAAAGTTGTCCAATGGTTCCAAGTCTTTCTTCCTTATTCTGAGAAAAGTTGTCCAATGGTTCCAAGTCTTTCTTCCTTATTCTGAGAAAAGTTGTCCAATGGTTCCAAGTCTTTCTTCCTTATTCTGAGAAAAGTTGTCCAGGAAATGCCAGCAATGGTTCAAAGTCTTTCTTCCTTATTCTGAGAAAAGTTGTCCAATGGTTCCAAGTCTTTCTTCCTTATTCTGAGAAAAGTTGTCCAATGGTTCCAAGTCTTTCTTCCTTATTCTGAGAATTGTTGTCCAATGGTTCCAAGTCTTTCTTCCTTATTCTGAGAAAAGTTGTCCAATGGTTCCAAGTCTTTCTTCCTTATTCTGAGAAAAGTTGTCCAATGGTTCCAAGTCTTTCTTCCTTATTCTGAGAAAAGTTGTCCAATGGTTCCAAGTCTTTCTTCCTTATTCTGAGAAAAGTTGTCCAATGGTTCCAAGTCTTTCTTCCTTATCCTGAGAAAAGTTGTCCATGACATGCCAGGATTGTTTCCAAGTCTTTCTTCCTTATCCTGAGAAAAGTGGTCCAGGATATCCCAGCAATGGTTCCAAGTCTTTCTCCCTTATCCTGAGAAAAGTGGTATAGGATATCCCAGCAATGGTTCCAAGTCTTTCTTCCTTATCCTGAGAAAAGTGGTCCAGGATACGCCTGCAATGGTTCGAAGACCATCAAAGCAAAAACAGGTAACCAATACATATTTGCAGTTATCTGCATATTGTAAACCTCAGCCAGCATTTTTTTCTAGGCAGTTTGTGATTTTACTCGACAATTTTACATTCAGTAGTTTGCCACTGCTTTCTCAACAATGCTCAATATCATTCAGGAAATCAACCCAAAGTGGTCTGCAGTCTAATCCTATGCAAATGAAGCCAACCAGATATTCTTGAATTTGGAACCATGTTCATAACCCCCAAAACCACAGATGGTGAGACCTGCATTAACACAAATACAGAACGGAAAATGCTCGGTCAAACTCTTAGAACAGCACATTTGATTTACAACCCTCGGTATGAGACATTTTATTTACAAATTCCCAGTCAACCCCATAAAAATATATGAAACAAATACAAGCATGGAAACGTACCAGAATTCTCCATCATCCCGCTGTATCAGACCCAGATTTGACCTGTCACTGGGAGATATCCCCTGCCATTCTGGAGACCTGTAGACAAGTTCATCACACAGAAATAAACTGACAAAAAAGTTGATCACAGACACACACACAAATCACAGAGAAATAAACTGACATAAAAGTTGATCACAGACACACACACAAATCACAGAGAAATAAACTGATCAGACACACACAAAAAGTTGATCACAGACAAATAAGCTGATGACAGAAAAATCAGTGAAATAAATCAATTTGAAAAGAAAAAAGTTTATCATAGACAAATAAGTTAATCACAGAGAACTAAACTGATCAGACAAAGTTTACCACAAACACACACAAAAATCACAGAGAAATAAACTGATCAGACACACACTAAAAGTTGATCACAGACAAATAAGCTGACCACAGATTAATCAGTTGATCATGCCACAAATAAGCTGAACGGACAAATAAGTTTATCACAGAAAACAAAAGTTGATCACAGACACATTAGGTCATCAGAAAGGTCATCAGCACTTATCTCCCCAAAAAGTTTTTTTTTTAAATTCAATTAAATGAACATCTACAGCTAAATAACAAATTAGAACAAATGACTCAAATAAGTAGGATCCATTTGAAGTGACTTGGGGTCAAGACTAGAAATCATGTTTAGGATTGCCCAGACAACATCAGTCCTTGCCAAGCAGCAAACATTACGGAGATCCAAAAATTTTTCATGCAAAACTAAGATTTGATTACTCAGAGCACTAGCTCTTAGTACATTTAAATATGGCTGTGAAACATGGACCTTAACAGCTGAACTGGAAAGAAAGATACAAGCATTAGAAATGCCATGTTTCAGAAAAATTCTTGGCAAATCATACTGAGACTACATTACAAACAAAGAGGTTCACCATAAAATAATACAGCACATCAGCAACTATGAACATCTTTTAACTACAGTGAAAAAGCGAAAAATACAATGATATGGACATGTAATAAGATCTAACGGACTCTCAAAAAAAATACTACAGGGCTTATTAGAGGGAAAGAGGAGAAGAGGCAGACCAAGAAAGACCTGTTTGCAGAATCTGAATGACTGGGCAGGCCTCATGCATGCAACCATGAATTCCATCGCAACTGACCACCAAAGGTGGCGAGAGCTGATCAGACAGTCACCAGAAACTGGTGACCCAACAACACGTAGTGTTAGGGCATGATGATGACAGCTACAGAGAAGCTCAACATCTGGTGGAGACATTCATGCAGACAGACAACATTCCTACAATAAAGTGCACAGCTACAGTGAAGCTCAATATCTGGTGGAGACATTCATGCAGACAGACAACATTCCTATAATAAAGTGCACAGCTACAGTGAAGCTCAACATCTGGTGGAGACATTCATGCAGACAGACAACATTCCTACAATGAAGTACACAGCTACAGTGAAGCTCAACATCTGGTGGAGACATTCATGCAGACAGACAACATTCCTACAATGAAATGCACAGCTACAGTGAAGCTAAACATCTGGTGGAGACATTCATGCAGACAGACAACATTCCTACAATGAAATGCACAGCTACAGTGAAGCTAAACATCTGGTGGAGACATTCATGCAGACAGACAACATTCCTACAATGAAGCTCAACATCTGGTGGAGACATTCATGCAGACAGACAACATTCCTACAATGCAAGCTACAGTGAACATCTGGTGGAGACATTCATGCAGACAGACAACATTCCTACAATGAAGACAACATGGTGGAGACAATGATGCTCAAACAACATTCCTACAAGAACATTCAACAGCTACTGACAGATCTGGTGGAGACATTCATGCAGACAGACAACATTCCTACAATGAAGCTCAACATCTGGTGGAGACATTCATGCAGACAGACAACATTCCTACAATAAAGCTCAACATCTGGTGGAGACATTCATGCAGACAGACAACATTCCTACAATGAAGCTCAACATCTGGTGGAGACATTCATGCAGACAGACAACATTCCTACAATGAAGCTCAACATCTGGTGGAGACATTCATGCAGACAGACAACATTCCTACAATGACACAGCAGAACATTCATTGGAAGCTCAATCTGGTGGATACATTCATGCAGACAGACAACATTCCTACAATGAAGCTCAAATCTGGTGCTCAACATCTGGTGGAGACATTCATGCAGACAGACAACATTCCTACAATGAAGTGCACAGCTACAGTGAAGCTCAACATCTGGTGGAGACATTCATGCAGACAGACAGCTACAAACAATTCCTAGACATTCATGCAGACAGAAAGCTACATGAAGTGCACAGCTACAGTGAAGCTCAACATCTGGTGGAGACATTCATGCAGACAGACAACATTCCTACAATGCACAGCTACAGTGAAGCTCATATCTGGTGGAGACATTCATGCAGACAGACAACATTCCTACAATGAAGTGCACAGCTACAGTGAAGCTCAACATCTGGTGGAGACATTCATGCAGACAGACAACATTCCTACAATGAAATGCACAGCTACAGTGAAGCTCAACATCTGGTGGAGACATTCATGCAGACAGACAACATTCCTACAATAAAGCTCAACATCTGGTGGAGACATTCATGCAGACAGACAACATTCCTACAATAAAGCTCAACATCTGGTGGAGACATTCATGCAGACAGACAACATTCCTACAATGAAGTGCACAGCTACAGTGAAGCTCAATATCTGGTGGAGACATTCATGCAGACAGACAACATTCCTACAATGAAGTGCACAGCTACAGTGAAGCTCAACATCTGGTGGAGACATTCATGCAGACAGACAACATTCCTACAATTCTACTGAACAATCTGGTGGAGACATTCATGCAGACAGACAACATTCCTACAATAAAGTGAAGCTCAGTGAATCTCAACATGGGTGGAGACATTCATGCAGACAGACAACATTCCTACAATAAAGTGCACAGCTACAGTGAAGCTCAACATCTGGTGGAGACATTCATGCAGACAGACAACATTCCTACAATAAAGTGCACAGCTACAGTGAAGCTCAACATCTGGTGGAGACATTCATGCAGACAGACAACATTCCTACAATGAAGTGCACAGCTACAGTGAAGCTCAACATCTGGTGGAGACATTCATGCAGACAGACAAAATTCCTACAATGAAGTGCACAGCTACAGTGAAGCTCAATATCTGACATTCATGCAGACAGACAACATTCCTACAATAAAGTGCACAGCTACAGTGAAGCTCAACATCTGGTGGAACATTCATGCAGACAGACAACATTCCTACAATAAAGTGCACAGCTACAGTGAAGCTCAATATCTGGTGGAGACATTCATGCAGACAGACAACATTCCTACAATAAAGTGCACAGCTACAGTGAAGCTCAACATCTGGTGGAGACATTCATGCAGACAGACAACATTCCTACAATGAAGTGCACAGCTACAGTGAAGCTCAACATCTGGTGGAGACATTCATGCAGACAGACAACATTCCTACAATAAAGTGCACAGCTACAGTGAAGCTCAACATCTGGTGGAGACATTCATGCAGACAGACAACATTCCTACAATAAAGTGCACAGCTACAGTGAAGCTCAACATCTGGTGGAGCATTCATGCAGACAGGACAACATTCCTACAATGAAGTGCACAGCTACAGTGAAGCTCAATATCTGGTGGAGACATTCATGCAGACAGACAACATGAAAGTGCACAGCTACAGTGAAGCTCAACATCTGGTGGAGGCATTCATGCAGACAGACAACATTCCTACAATGAAGTGCACAGCTACAGTGAAGCTCAATATCTGGTGGAGACATTCATGCAGACAGACAACATTCCTACAATGAAGTGCACAGCTACAGTGAAGCTCAATATCTGGTGGAGACATTCATGCAGACAGACAACATTCCTACAATGAAGTGCACAGCTACAGTGAAGCTGAACATCTGGTGGAGACATTCATGCAGACAGACAACATTCCTACAATGAAGTGCACAGCTACAGTGAAGCTCAACATCTGGTGGAGACATTCATGCAGACAGACAACATTCCTACAATAAAGTGCACAGCTACAGTGAAGCTGAACATCTGGTGGAGACATTCATGCAGACAGACAACATTCCTACAATAAAGTGCACAGCTACAGTGAAGCTGAACATCTGGTGGAGACATTCATGCAGACAGACAACATTCCTACAATAAAGTGCACAGCTACAGTGAAGCTCAACATCTGGTGGAGACATTCATGCAGACAGACAACATTCCTACAATAAAGTGCACAGCTACAGTGAAGCTCAATATCTGGTGGAGACATTCATGCAGACAGACAACATTCCTACAATAAAGTGCACAGCTACAGTGAAGCTCAATATCTGGTGGAGACATTCATGCAGACAGACAACATTCCTACAATAAAGTGCACAGCTACAGTGAAGCTCAATATCTGGTGGAGACATTCATGCAGACAGACAACATTTCTACAATGAAGTGCACAGCTAAAGTGAAGCTGAACATCTGGTGGAGACATTCATGCAGACAGACAACATTCCTACAATGAAGTGCACAGCTACAGTGAAGCTCAACATCTGGTGGAGACATTCATGCAGACAGACAACATTTCTACAATGAAGTGCACAGCTACAGTGAAGCTGAACATCTGGTGGAGACATTCATGCAGACAGACAACATTCCTACAATGAAGTGCACAAACATTACCCAGGTTATGATGAAACAACTAAATACTAAGCCTGCAGCACTGGCTAAAATCACATCTGATCAGACAAGTATGACTGTGCTACAAGACTACTCAACACTGAGGATACAAGAAGCAGACTGACAATGACAACAAAGTCAATAGTATAAACATTGAACATCAGAACACTAATAAAACATGAGGGGGGGGGGGAGATAAAGAGAGAGAGAAGGGGGGGGGGGGGGGAACTGAAGTCCTACCATTCACTCCATCGACCCCGCCATTCTTTGCTGTCACCATGTGGATTACGTATCCTGATCAACGTAATGGGTTGCTGCCCAAACAA